TGTATGAACACATTACACCTAAGGCTTTTGTATATGTGACCAGTGTATTATTATTATTATTATATTATTATTATTATTATTATTATTATTATTATTATTATTATTATTATTATTAATTATTTTATTTTATTTATTAAAGGTAAGGTTCGTGAGGCATCATTGTCTATACAGGGCATTTTGTACCCTACCCGTGAAATCTTTTAAATGACAACTTTATTATTATATTATTACACATTGTCATGTCATTCCAGATCAGCTCAATGTAACTTTGAAGTAGTCTGCAAATTAATGCTAATCCCTAAGCTTGATCATATCATAAATAATTTTTATTCCTCGGGGGCAAGTTATACTTTAAAATCTTTGAAAAAATTTCAATTGTTACATCTGAGCTCAACAATATTAACTGGAATGGAATAAATCTTTAAATTCTCTGAAACATAAGAGACTGAGACCAGTTCATGACATGTAAACTATTAGGCAATCAAATGTTAATTAATTATTCATGATCATATTTTTTCAAATAGATATGGATATTTCTTATTCAATTGTCATGTATAAAAAAAAAATAACATAAACGAAAATATGATATTCGACTATTCGTATCAACTGACCTAACGGTTAGGCTGCATCATTAAAATAAATACAAATTGTGTCACTTTTAGCACATTCTAGCACACACTCATTAACCAGTCTTTCCTAATTATGATAAAAATATTTTTTTTTTTAAAAAAAAAAATAACTCTTGAAAATGCAATTGATATGACATAGTTATGTATATTTTATTCATAACTTACAGTTTAATCATATCTTTTTTTAACCCAAAAGTAATCTCAATCAAAAAACCAATTGAAAATGCTCTTTTGGTATCACATTCAATCAGAGACAGTAAGAGTAACAATCAGCAAAACACTTGGAACCAAAATTTCAATGCAAAAAAACACACACAAGAACTGAGGGTATTCTGGTCAATTGCCCAAGACACCAACCGCATAATCCCACGTGGCGAGTTGTGATAGGCAGGAAGAATAAAAGCTTAAAAAAAAAACAGCAGTTGCAGAGCCAAAAGGGTAAAAAGAGGAGAGAAGTCGCCTTCCACTCTCATCCAACATTCCACCTCTGGCAACTTTGTTCAGATTATGAAATTCCGAAAATACCCCTTACATTCCATCATATTCGCACAGACCCACGCTTGAAAAACCCACCAAAAAGACGATATTTTTTTCCTCTTCTCTCACTTACTTTCTCTCTCTGTACCTCCTCTCACATGGGTTTTTGCTAAAGGTACGATCTTTACAGTTTTTTAAGCTTCTGATGTAACAGTTAATCTGATTTCTAGTTTCAGATTAAGGCATGTGTTAGGTTGGGTAATTGGGTTTCAGTTCTTACCTTTGCTGCAATATTTACAGATAAAAAAAAAAGTCAACTTTTGAGTATGTACAATTTTGCTGTGTAATTCTACGTTTGTTTGATGTTAATGGGGCTTTATTCAATTTTTGTTAGTCAGGACTCGGGATCTGTTTAGGAGAGTTATGTCAGATCCTTGATATTTGGGGTTAATTTTGGTTTGATTCACTTGGGACTATTTATGTACGAGCTATGCATTTCACCCCTGTAGTGGATCTGCCTTTTTCCTCTCGTTTTGCCCAAATTTCAACCTGATTTTTTTGTCAAATTTCGCCCCCAGGTGTTTTTGCTTTCCCTGTTTCTAGAAAGATCCTTATTGATTTGTGTTTATCGCCGTCATGCCCGGAATTGCCATGGATGGAATTCAAGAATCTGTGTCGGTTAACGAGAACGGAAATTCAGTCACCGGTAAAGAAAATCCGGCAGATGATAACTCGACCCAACAGGGCCATCAGAACGGGAATTCTGCAGAAAATGTCGAGAAGGAAATCGAGACCTCCATCGACCAGCTTTACGAAAATGTCTGTGATATGCAGAGCTCTGACAGGTCACCTTCGAGGCCCAGCTTAGGATCCGAAGGCGACGAGTCCCGGATCGACTCCGAACTGCGGCATCTCGCGGGCGGCGAGATGAAAGAGGTTGAAATAATCGAGCAAGATGAGGATCTCCGAAAGGCTGAAAATGCCCCGGAAAAGGATAGTACCCCGCCCGCAGTGAAACCCGATAACCATAACCCCAGATCGTCAAGACGGGCCTCCCATTCAAGCCCGAAAAGCAAAAGCCCGGCAAAAACTTCCGAACGGGCCGCGAAAATCAAGAAATCGGCCATGAAGCCACAGGACGGGCTCGAGAACCCGCTGGATAACCCGGATCTCGGGCCCTTCCTTCTCAAGCAGGCCCGTGACTTGATGTCGTCTGGGGATAATCCACGAAGGGCACTCGACTTGGCCAACCGTGCCGCCAGCTCGTTCGAAAAATGTGCTGGCGGGCAAAAACCGACCCTCGAGCTCGTCATGTGCCTCCACGTGTCGGCTGCTATACACTGTGCCCTCGGCCAATATGCAGAGGCCATTCCCATTCTCGAGCGCTCGATCGAGATACCCGATATCGAGGCTGGCCCAGATCATGCATTGGCAAAATTTGCGGGCCACATGCAGTTAGGAGACACCTACTCTATGCTGGGCCAGCTCGGACGCTCGATTTTAGCCTACTCAGCAGGTCTCGCAATTCAGAGGCAGGCCCTTGGGGAAAACGATCCTCGAGTGGGGGAAACGTGTCGGTACTTGGCCGAGGCCCATATTCAGGCTATGCAGTTCGATGAGGCCCAGCAAGTCTGCCAGCTGGCGCTCGACATCCATCGGGGGACTGGATTGCCGGCATCCCTCGAGGAAGCTGCTGACCGGCGGCTAATGGGGATGATCTGCGAGGCGAAAGGTGATCCCGAGGGTGCGCTCGAGCACCTCGTTCTTGCCAGCATGGCGATGGCGGGAAACGGGCAGGAGTCGGAAGTGGGCCCGGTCGACTGCAGTATTGGGGACGCTTACCTGTCCCTGAACCGGTATGACTTTATCCATTATATGAACCGAAAATCAAACCGAAATTTATGGTTCGGTTTGGTTTTTAACCGAAAGTTCAGCGGTCTGCTCAGTTCGGTTATCGGGTTGCGTAGTAGATAATTAATTTTCTCAACAAATTCTGAATTTTTAACGGAACCAAAAATTTGATTTTTTATCCGAACCAAAATATTTGATAATCACACCTTGTTTAATCTTCTCAATAATTCCTATTTCTCCTCTGAAGGAAGATCTTGTATCCGAACCGTGACTTGGACTATGACGAAGCCAATTTTGAGTGCAAATTAATGCTTGAGCCGTTTTAGGGGTCATTGAAACTCGAAAATCATCAATCATTGTAGCAAATTAACGCTTTTATTATTTTTATGTATAAATCGGTTTTCGGTTCTGTTCGGTCCAAACCGAACCAAATATTCTGTTTCAGTCCAAACCGAATTTTCTATTTCAATCGGTTCGGCTCGATTTAACCGAATTTTTGTGTACGCCTAGGTATGACGAGGCAGTTTTCGCGTACCAGAAGGCCCTCACATCACTCAAATCGACACGAGGCGAAAGCCACCCAGCCGTGTCTTACGTTTATGTTCGCCTCGCGGATCTTTATAACCGAACCGGAAATTTCAGGGACTCAAGATCGTACTGTGAGAATGCGCTCCGAATATACGAGAAGCCCAGCCCAGGGACTGCCCCGGAGGAGGTGGCGGGCGGGCTAGCCGACATCTCCGCCATCTACGAGTCAATGGGAGAAACCGAGCGCGCGCTGAAGCTTCTGCAGAGGGCGCTCGGAATTTATAAGGACACTCCAGGTCAGCAGAGTACGGTTGCGGGGATTGAGGCTCAGATGGGGGTTATGTACTATGTACTGGGGAAGTATAGTGAGTCATATTCGTATTTCAGAAGTGCAGTTGAGAAGCTTCGGGCGAGTGGGGAAAAGAAGTCTGCGTTTTTCGGGATTGCTTTGAATCAGATGGGGCTGACTTGTGTGCAGAGGTATGCGATTAACGAGGCCTTGGAGTTGTTTGAGGAGGCAAAGGTGATTTTGGAGAGGGAATGTGGGCCTTGCCATCCGGATACGCTCGGAGTTTATAGTAATCTTGCGGGAACTTATGATGCAGTTGGCAGGTAAGGATCATTAATATGTTTTTGCTCGATTAGTTAGTTAGTTTGTTTGTTTTATGGGAATTAATTGGCCGGAAAGTTTTTGTTTTCCGATCAAAATTGGGCTTTTTTTTTTTTGGTGAAAAATAGCAGTTCATTCGTTGATTGATTTTCGGTAGATTCGTTAGGGATATTTCGTGGTTGATTTTTTTAGGAAAATTATTTGTTTCCATATAAATAGTTCGAGCCTGTTACGAACTACATGACTGCAGAAGCCAAGGCTTCATTTTGTGAACATACAAAAGAGATAATGATAAAAAAAGTTTGAACCCCTTAAGAAAATGCTTATGAGGCCATTCTTAACTGCTGGAAAAGGAAATATGAGTTATGTTTACTTTGATTTTTACAAGTTATATGTTTGTGTGTATTTGTTAAACAGTTGAAAATGTCAAGTGGATGTCTGTAATTCTGTATACCATTATGAAAATGTTTCAATCTTTCCTGTAGTCAAATGAAACTATTACATTATAGAAAATTTTAATCTAATGAAATGATTCTGTAAAGTTTGGTGTATTTTACCAGACACCATCTTTTTTTTGTGGGACTTCTGTTAATTGTTTTATGTTTTTCATTTTGTTAAAGTTGACTTTGATATGCCATATACACACAGGCTGGATGATGCCATTGAGATGCTCGAATTTGTTGTTGGGATGAGAGAGGAAAAACTCGGCACAGCAAATCCAGATGTCGATGACGAGAAGAAGCGATTGACTGAGCTGCTGAAGGAGGCAGGTAAGGTTCGTAATAGGAAAAACCGATCGCTTGAAAATCTTCTCGATTCGAACCAGAACTTAAAGGCTGTCGTAGAAGTGTGACAAAGATAGCTGTACAGTACTGTGTCTGATCTTTTACACATTTCTTCCAAGACAATAATTATACAATTTAAAAAAGAAAAGGAAACAGAGAGAGAGAGAGAGAGAGAGAGAGAGAGAGAGAGAGAGAGAGAGAGAGAGAGAGAGAGAGAGAGAGTATACCTTATTGATTGAGTTTGGTGTTTTGGATTATTGTTCAGCTGTTGAATAACATTTTCCAGTCTTGATTATTGTATTGAAGTTTAGTGTATTAGCTTGTGAAAGGGAGTGGTTGTTTGTACTTGTTAATTTAATTTATCATTGTTTGGTGTACAATCAATTATTTGTATACTTGTTATGCATATGGGGTTGGTTTGATGCTGTCTCTATTTTTTATTTTCTTTATGTTTAAATCTCTATAGTTTTGTTGTCCCAAGTTCTGGTTTTTTTGGTGATTGTTATATAGAAAATTTTGTGGGCTTCAAGGTAATGTCATTTATTTCTATTCATGTACCAAAATACTACTACCCAAACAAACAGTTGCAATGAAGACCTTAAATTCAAGAGTCAAGACCCACTAAACGTTGAAGAAAAACTTTTACAAGTCTTATTAATTGCTTATAAGATTTGGAGGTATTAAATGTTTTTGCCTATGTTTAGAACAAAAGAAGGTCAAATAACATAAAAAAAAGGTGGAGTCATAGGTAGGTAAGTTACTGCATTTGGCTTCCACATTTAGGGGTGATTGTTTACAAAATAATTTACCCATGCCTTAATAACGTACTTTTTTTTGTCGGTATTATGTGGATTTGTTGTGGTTTCAAGCGAGAACCCTTGGAGCATCGTCTCATTGTCATGTTGAATAAGTGATATACCAAACGAGTTGCAGGGTATGGTGGAAGTGTGGAGGCTGATGTCGAGACTATATATATATATGTAAAAGACAATGGATTGTATTAATGCAAAATGTCTCGATCTTACATGTAAATTTCTAGTACTTCGTAATTCTATGTATCTGACGATTCGTATGTGCATGGTTTGGAGTAATACAATAAATCCGAGTTTGTACCCATGGATGCCTTGTGGTTTTTTTTAGAAATGCGGCTTAAGGGCTCGGTTTTGGTGAAGTGCTATATTACCGAGCTTATGGGCCTTAGCCCAGAGCCCGCTAACATGATGAGCTTCGTCCTGCGGGTCGGGGATTGGTGGGCAATAGCTTCCCCTAAAACGGACATTTGGAGTTAATTTATGTAATACCTAAGTGGAAATCTATGTCAAACT